CCCTGCACTTCTTAAGCACCTGCTCTCACCAGGCACTTGCCCACGTCTGGGGGGGTGGGGCCTCTCCATCCTGCTCTCAGGTGCGTCATCAAGTGGAAGCCAGGAGGACCCAGGCGAGGGTGTCTGGTGGGGGCGTGGGGGCCCTGGGCGGGCGGGAGCCAGCTGGGTGGCTGCTGAACACTCACACTGTGCCACGCGGCCTCGGTCCCCCTCTGAGTCACTCTGCTGCCTCCATTAGGCATTGTCCACAGCCCCATCATTTCTTCCTCTCTCATTTGTTTTTGCTCATGACATGAAGACTGAACCCGGCTCCCTCCGCCTCTCTGTTCTCTTCGGCTCCTGAGTCCTATATGTTGGAAGTGCTTTATGGTGATTCACTTTTCAGAAAAATAACATGTTACTGTTGATTCAAGCCCCCCCACCTAGAAGCTTGAAGGTTTAGAGGTGGGCTCTGGAGTGCAGGCAGACCCATGTTCCAATCCACCTCTCCTTTACCTCTCAGGTCTGGGACAGCAGGGGGTGGGGTGTAGCCTCTCAAGAAAACCTTGCTTTCCTTGAGTCTAAAATGGGAATGATAAGACCAGCCCTGGTTGTGGTAGTTGTGAGCTAAACGAAAACTCAACACAGTCAGTGCCCGTGGAACACTGTTTGCCCAGCACACACTGGCTGTCATTACCTGGCTCACGTCTCCTTCTTGGGAACAGTAACCATGGTAGATTGGCAGCACTATTATTAAAGAAAACGAAGGTCTAGGTCAGTTTCAGTGCAGAGCCTCAAGACTTGAGTTGAATCGAGTATAACTGAGCCCCATGGCAAGCGCTGCCCATGGCACCTCCAACTCCCAGGAAGGACAAGGACTTGTGCCCCCTGACCCCTGACCCCTGACCTGCTGTGTGGCCTCTGCAGTAAGGAGGTCTCCTTGGAGAGCCCTTGGCTCTGGCAGTGGCCCGGGGCAGTCCGCTCCCCCGTCACAGTCTCTTCCCTACTCTGCGTCCTCCCCACGTCTGCTCACACATCGGCGTTCCCACAGCAAGCCTGGCGTCCTCGCAGCCCAGGGCTCTCTCCCTAACTAGCCAGGGGTTTCTGTCAGTTGCCCTTGTTCTTATCCACCTCTTACCTGTGTGCCAGAGGCACTCGGCCACGTGGTCTCGTACACGGGTTCCATTTCCCCTTCCAGGCAGTCCACGGGACGGAGCAGGTCACACACCCGCTCGGTGCTGAGGCCAGAATTTAAATCCCAGTGAGCTGGCTCCTTAGACCAAGCTCTGAGCCATTATTTTACAGAACCTCACTCCATCAAATGTCTTCTGTGTACAGGTCTCCTTCGCTTTAGAGTCTGCACTCCTTGAATGTCTCTCTCCCTCCCTTTTTTTCCTACCTCTCCTCCTTCGAAGACCATGCACGGAGGCCCTGAGTCAGGCCAGATCTGGTCACTTTCCATAGCCCCTGTAGGGATTCTTAGTCTTCTTATTCCTAAGAACTGAGCTGCACCTTTGATTTCCGGCCGTGGCCAGACCACTTGGTCTTCAAACCCAGAACAGCCCCTCCTAGAGCCCAGACCAGAGTAGGACACTGGTTACAAGCATGAGGTGTGGCCTCAGGGGCCAGGACTTGGGTTTCCGCCATGCTCCCCTCACCGTGGCACTGCTCTCCGCCTCAGTTTCCTCACCTGGAGGATTTTACTTATTCCAAGATTGCAGGTTTGTTGTGGAGATTCCGTGCGTTGCTGTGTAAGCAGTTAGACTGGTACTTGGCTGTGCTCTGTCCATGTCGGTCCCTAAGACCGTCCCAAACCTGCCGTTCTCCCTCCTGGAGGACACGTTCTAAGAAGTCTCAGTCCCACAAGAATGTCTTCTGAAGACGAGTGGTAGGAAAAAACTTGTTTTCTCTAGAACCTGTCCCCTGCCGCTGTTCCCAACTTTGTACCCTTCTGCTGATGACAGCATCAGGCTCCCAAGGAGAGGCGAAAAGGTTTCCCCATCTGGTGAGCCTGCATGACACCAGCCAGCCTGCCTCCCACCCGCCCCAGCTCTCAACTTCTGAGGTGAACTCAGCAGGGGAGACGCGGTGTTCAGTGGCCTTAGGTGTTCAATAGCCTGGGTGGCCTTGGCTCACCATTGGGTGTCTCCTTAGCTACTGCCTCTTTGGAACCTTAGAATTTTATGGACTTAACAATCCATTTGAATGAAAAGGCTCAAAACTCCGGGATAGCCCTAGGATCAAGCTAATTAACAGCCTTTTTCAAGTTGGAGCTTTGGAGGGCAGGATGAACCTTTGAAAGCGACCTTCATTTGTGAGTGCTACACGCCATTGCAATAAAAACCAGAACCTGGGAGGGAAATCGCTGAACACAAGAGGGAAGCTGTCATTTCTGGAGGCACATCGGCATGGTAGAGGCAAAAAAGAATGTTCTTCATGCAAATGAGGCGCACTGAGGCTTCCCTGAGCCATCAGTCACATGGTCCTCAACTTAATGATTCTCACATCTAATTCAAAGTGAAGTTAGTCATTAGATATTAAGACAAAAGCAGGCAGCCTCCTATCTCAACAAGCAATCCTTCCCCCTGAAGTGGGAAGTGGAATTATCTCTGGAATAATTAAAATCCTTCCTGAAGTATGAAAACACCCCGTTAACTGGAGTCGCCTTTGTTGAAAAGTACCCTCCCCAGGCCCCCCGAAAAACCCTGATGACCATGATCAAGGACGACAGGGTGACACAAAGGCCCACACAGACGAGGTGATCCAACCCATACCCGCGTCGGGATCATTTCTGAGCCAGAGAACCAAGTTCCTAGTCAGAGGAAACCGCTGCTCAGCAGCAGTTCCGTTTGTGAACAAGTGTGGCTGTGGCGCTTTCTCCAACTCAGGCTCACGCATCTGAAGTGCGCACTCCCACGGAGGAACTAAAGCCAACAATAGAGGGGCGGGCGGCAGAGAACCGGGTTCCTGGAAGGTCCCCAACCCGCCTGTTGATTTGTTGGCAGTGTTTCCAGAGTTAAAATAACTTAATTCCAGACAAGCGCAGCGATTGAACAAAAGCGTTGTTCCCTGCCAGAGCATAAGCAGCCAGCGCTTCCAAACACATTCATTTCCATGGAGGTGCTGTGGTCACCGGATGTGATCCCTGCCCCTCTCCCTACAGTGTGAAGCCTGGCGTTTCGTGCCATCATCAGCCAGTTCTTTCTCACAGGACCACCACACTGTCACAGCGTGTCACCCACTCCACAGCAAGTCAGTCTTTGCTCGTTAGCAGTGATTGAAGATGATGGTGTCTTAACATCCAAGGGACTTTTGTGCGTGAAGATGAATACTTACCTGGTTACGTTCTGATCGTGCCGGGTGTATTCTTCTGTAGTTTTTAAATAATCCACATTTTTAAACATGACATGACCGGTATCCTCCAAATATTTATACACTGCTTAAAAAAGTAATGTCTACTCAAAGAAATAAAAAAATAAAGAAATTCCCAACATGTAAACATAGATTTTTAAGTGTAAACACTTGTAGACATTTATTTGAAATGACATTTCTAAAACCAGTCAGGTTATCATAAATGTTTGAAACCCTGAAAAAATAAACACACACATAAAAGCCAGTACATTTGCAGGGTATAAATGTCTGAAAACCATGGATTTAAGGTTGTTTCCTAACCATTTTTATTCTTATTCATACCTTTTTTTTTAAAGCTTCTGTTTTATTTATTTTTCGTTTGTTGGTTGGTGGCATGCACTTACATAATCCAAGAGTTTTAGGAATTTTTAAGAAACCACCGCAGAACCTCTGAGGCCGCCAGCTCTGGTCGTTTGTTTGCTTGTTTCTTAGTTGGGATGTAGGGTTGAGCTGCTTAGCCCGCCAGTGACTCCTAGCTTCCAGGCATCTGGCTGACTCCATTCTCATAACTACGCTTCTTTCATTATGTCAGAGGGCCCTACGCCCCTATCTTTTATAGAGATTGTTCACTTTTGAAAGTTGGCATCTTTCCCCAACATGATAAATTTTAAGTTTTGTGTATCTGCCAGTCCCTGAGCCATTGTTCTGTCATTCTGATTTATTGAGCTTGTCTGTTAACATTATTAAAAACTTAGGTGTCCTCTATTATTATTTTATTCTAATTAGTTGGGCCATTGAGAGGTTTTGTCTCCTAGGAGATGAGATTGAGCCCACGTAATTAGCTCTCTTCTTTAGGACAGCTGGCTAATTCATCACCTTGGAATACAGTGTTAGACTCCCTGCCACCTGTTTATCTTCTATGGCCGTGGCGCCGATGGATTTTTCCTAGACTTGGTGTAGTATTGGCTTCATCAGGTACTAAGTTTTAGCTTTTCCTTTTACACGGGTGGAAACCAGTGCACCACACGCGAAATAGCCCACGTTATTAGGATTATAGCAGAACAGAGTTCCCGCAACTTTAGTTTTTACGAATGTTTACCTTTTGTGCTTTCCACTAGTATTTAAATAATACCTCTCTAGCAATAGCTTTAAATCTACTTGTTTTAACCTAGCATCGTCTTAAGCCACAGTAGCCATGAAACCTCCCATTTGATGCATCAGCTGTATTTCAGTGAACTTTTCTGTAAGTTCACATTAAAATAGTGGCATAAATATTGAAATGACGGGGTTGTTCTGGTACCCCCAGGGCCCTCTTCAAACTTCCATCATATGAGTAATTGTTATTTTTTCCTTGTTGAGAGGAAAACCCCAAACTTTTTTTTTTTTGGAACAGAAATAAGTTGTGATTGCTTATAAAATATTTTCATTTTTCCAGGCGACTGTAAGAAAAGGCATAGTATACTCTCTCCCATTTTGGTACTTGTCAGTTTCATTGGCAAAATATCAGCACATATTTTGAAGCCTGCGTTTTTACAGTTATGGGTGACTTACAGGTTATAGGTTTTGGCCTGAACGACTGGGTGACACCTGATGGTGTTGGGACGTTGGGGGCAGAAGGCCTGGAAGTGCAGTGGGTGTGACCTTGGCCCTCTGCTTCTCTCGCCCTGCAGTGATCCCCAAGGTCACCAAGCACCTGCTCTCGAACCCTGTGTTCACCTGCATCATCCTGGCCGCCTGCATGGAGATTGCAGTGGTGGCCGGCTTTGCTGCCTTCTTGGGGAAATACCTGGAACAGCAGTTTAACCTCACCACCTCGTCTGCCAACCAGCTGCTCGGTGAGTCGGCGCCTCGGTCCGCTGGGACGGTGTGGGGAGGCATACATAACAGTATTCAGAGCAGCCCCATGCATACTGGCCCCAATGTCTGTCAGCAGTAGACTGGGAAAATTATAGAATGTTCATACGGTGGCCTGTCACACAGCGTGAGAAAGCGAGAACTTGGACACATGCCTCAATGTGGTTGAATCTGAGAAGAGCTGAAAGGCATCGGACACAAAAGGGTACATATTTATGTGAGTTACAAAGAGGAGAAGTTACTTCAAGTGATAGAGGCCAGAATGATGGTTACCCTTGGGGGAAACTTACCTGGTGGGAGTGCGTACCAGGTGTTGTTGGAGAGTGAGCCCTTCTCGGTGCAAAGTCCAGGTCCTTGGCAACTCAAGCAAAGACTTGAACGAGATGGCGGAGTAAAGTACTGAAAAAGTACTTTATTTGAAGAGATAGCACATTTCAAAGAAGTAGAAGTAGGCCCGAGCAGTAGAGAATGGCTCAGGGGCCCATTATTAGACTTCTGTTGTTTAGGATTCAGACACTGATTTACAAAGCAATCAAGAAGCAGGAGGATTAGAAGGATTCTAGGATTCAGGCTAGGAGCAATCTTTAGTCTAGGATTCACAAACTGGTTAGAAAAGTAATCAAAGCCAGGGGCTAAGAAACTAAGAAACTAGGGAGGAGATTTAACATTTCTACACTTAACACTTTGTAAGCGGGCATTTTTCTCTATACCTGAGTTAACTCGTCTCCCGCACTTTGGTATAAAAAGCGCTATGACGAGTTTACTCGTTTCCCGCAAACAATGTGTTAATATTTCTATAGGAAAGAAAACTTACAAGTTTCTCAGTGGTGGTGGTGGGGTGGGGGCTGCTTGGTTGGCCAGTAACACAGGGAGCCCCTGAGCGGCCAGATATATGTTTTAAGCTTGATCTGAGCTGTGGTTACAGGGGTGTGTATACAGATGCAAAAATTATGGGCTAGTCCCTTAAGCTTCAGCATTTCACAGGACATAGTATATCGCAGTTAAAAAAAAAAATTAAAACCCTGCCACAATCATGTGGCCAGATCATAGCACTTCTCCCTGGGAACTGATAGGGTGGCATAAGGCTTATTTTTTATCTTTTTTACTAATAAGTCTTTACCTTCCACTATTTTATAAGTTACTTCTAAGAGTTATTAGCAAAGTGCAGCCAGCCCTGTACTATCTGCCTGACAGAGATAGGGTAAACGTATCTCTATAATTAAAGTTACAACCTCTCCGCTCTAGCTAGCGTCACTCAGCCTTCACCCCCCAGCACCCAAAGAGTTTATCTCTTACCTCCTGATTACTTTGCTTGCATGTGCACAGTTGCTTCCACATTAGGGGCCAACTTCTATTTATGAACAGATTCTTCAGTTTTCTGATCGACACACAAATCAATAGTCTTCAGGGCAGAAGGTCTAAAAAAAAAGTCTCACCTTCTTGCACCTGTTTCTTTTCAAGTGATGTGAGAAATCACTCTAATCAGCATAGATCCTGGAGGGCTGGTTGTAAGAGGGGCTGGCAGTGGGTCTTTAGGGGACAAAGAGGCACTGAGAGCAAATGGTGAGGCTTGAGCCTCAGCACAGGGCTCCGGGGCATCCAGGAAGTCATCGGCAAATGGAGCAGAGGTCAGAACAGAGCCCGGCAGATGATTAAGGGGCTGATGGCATTAAGATAAAGGACCCAATCTGCATAGGTTAAGGTAATGAGGATGGAGTTTCAGAGAAGCTCTGGTAACAGCCGGATGTTAAGGCCACACACATACATCAGGAGGGAGGGGAGGCACGTGATGATGGAGAAAGGGTGCCTGTTATTTCCATAGTTACCATCATCGCAAGGTGACCCTCGCGCTGTCTGGGTTAGGAAATGACCCAAGCGCAGGCCTGCTCTCTGTCACGGGGAGCCAGTCTTCCCATTTCCGTCCTCCCCAGAATAATCCTGAGCCACCGACTAGGCATTGGAAACTGTGCTGGACTGAACAGGATGGAGAGGGTGCTCATCCTCAGGGAAGCTGCAGCTTAGTAGGGAGAGAAGGAACAAGGAACAAGAAAACCCAGGCAGCTTCTGATAGTAGACAGAGCCATGGAAATAATAAATCCGTGCAAGAAACCATAGGGAGGGCCGGCTGAGTGGCGCGATGGTTAAGAGCTGGCTTGGGACGCCAGAGGGCCCCGGTTCGGATCCCACATATAAGGGCCAGTGACACTGCCCTCCACAGCTAAGATGCTGAACAACAGCTCAACCTGGAGCTGGGCTGCCGTGAGTCGCCGGCGACGGCGTGGGCTGCAGCCCCTGCTGCACCAGCGCTGTTCCCATCCCCAATTTAAAAAAAAAGCTCTTTAATAAAAAGAGACCCTAGGGAATCCCAGGGTGGGGTGCTGGGGCCACTCTAGATGGGGGGTGGTCTGGGAAGACCTCTGACAAGGATAGGACCCAGAACAGGGCAAGAATGTTCTAGAAGAGGGACCAGTAAATGCAAAGCCTAGGTGCCTGGATGGGTGTGGCCTGAGGGAGAGAAGAGGTGGGCATGGTTAGTGGGGGCAGGGTGGTCAGCGCGGAGGGGCTAGGCCACCAGGACTGTCTATACCAAGGGCCAGGGGAACCAAGCAGAGAGATTCCCAGAGTATCGGATAAGCGATAGTATGGCTTGTTGTGGGGTGTTTTCTGTTGTTTTTTGTTTTTTTAAATGTGACTGGCTGCTATTTTCTGGCACAGCTCAGCCTCCCTGATTATATTACCTAAATATTAAAATTATTTTGCATTCCCTTACTACATTCCAGCTGCTTGATGTAGTTGACTGACCTAGAGGTCTGTTGATTGGCAAGGAGGAGGCAGCCTAGGCTGGAAAATTGGCCGTGCACAGTCTCCCCAGTGGATAAATGACACACGGTCATTTAAAGCCCAGTTTTAGACAAAGCGAGTCAGAACAGAACAAAACCACACAGGAGACTGGAAGCCTAGGATGGGACCCTTTGCTCCTCCTAAAATCCCACGAATCTCTGAAAATCGGAAATACATGTTTATGGCCCTGCTGCCTTACAGATAGCTCTGTTTATGAGAGAGAGAGGGAAAAAAATCATTCCAGTTACTCACTGAGAGCCACAAACTGTATTGATTTGATTGATGCTACTTCCTGAGAGGTCACATGGTTAAAACACTGTCTCCATGGGCTGGTGAGCTGGGGACCTTTGGTGAAAACAGCCTCCAGACCCTGAAAGCCCTCCTTGCCTAATTAGAAGAGGGGAAGGAAAGTCCCCAAATGACCTTGAGTCCCCTCCCACAGCACCTCAAAAATTTGCAGAGAGCCCATCACTGCTCCTTGGTACTTCCTCTCCTATAACGTGTGCGTGTCCCCTGTCTGACTTGTCTCTCGGTTGTCCCCACAGCAGCTGTGTTTCCATAGTTTTTACGTGTCTGTCTCCCCCAGCTTTCTCTGAGCTCCTTGAGGGCAGAAGTGAGGCCCTTGATGGAGGCTTTGGGGCCCCACGGTGGTGTCAGGTGGCGTCAGGGGGCTTCTGTCTGGTCGCTTGTCTGCTCACGGCACCCGCCCCTCTGCTTCTCTGCAGGGATGACTGCAATTCCCTGTGCCTGTCTGGGGATCTTCCTGGGCGGCCTCCTGGTGAAGAAGCTCAGCCTGTCCGCCCTCGGGGCCATCCGGATGGCCATGCTTGTCAACCTGGTGTCCACAGCTTGCTACGTCTCCTTCCTCTTCCTGGGCTGTGACACGGGCCCCGTGGCTGGGGTTACTGTTCCCTATGGAAACGCGTAAGTACCAGAAATGTCTGTTCCCGCCCCTGCCTGCCCGGGATGCCAGGACCCTCTCCCCCTGGGCAGGTTAGTGGAGCCAGCTTTGTCCCTAGTGACCATGAGCCAAGGCCAGTGACATCTTAAGATGCTGATGCATCTTTCTCCCAGTGTCCGGGAATCAGTGTGACCCTTCTGGGCTGACAGGGCAGCCCGTTCCCCTCCACGGTCCCCTCCCTGAGAGGCCAGGACAGTGCTGGGGGACACCATCAGACATCACTCCCTAGAGGACTCAGATGACTACTTCTGGCATTTGACCATTGGAATGATGTGAAGAGAGGAAATAAAAATAAACTCTATTATAAAATTCAGCTTCAAATAAAAGAATAGACTCCAGTAGTTCCTCAGATTATCAGGAGCTGTCATTAGACTCACTTGGTAATTGCAGGGTCGGGGATTATTCAGTGTGGGGGGGAGTGGCATAAAAAGGAGAGCAGGGAGAGAAGGGACGGAAGTCAGTTCTCAGGGAACGACTTTCCTTATTTCCTAGTTACTGTCCCAAGACTTTGTACTAGAGTCCAGCCTTTAGAGGGACCCTGGAGAGTCCTTTCATATCTAGGGTCGACAGCTGTCCCCTTTTCTACATGGGGGCCTGAGGCCGCTTTGGGAATCCAGTGTGGGGCACCGAGACGTCAGCACAGCTGGCTTGCAGGACACCTGTTCCTCTCCACACCAGTCTCCTCCAGGCAGGCGGCCAGGCCTGCTCCTGCAGTTAAGCCAGACGACACGGTATAGCCGGTCTTACCTGCCATGCCAAAGGGCAAGCAGCCCAAATGGAAGGACACAGGCAGAGGTGGCTGTCCGTACATCTGTGTGCAGTTCCTGCACATACGTGCGAGGCACCACGTGCCCCTGTGTCCCCTTCGCCGCCACTACCACGAAGCCTCTCCCAGTCCCCACCTCAGCCCAGGAGAGAGAGCGAGAATGTGGTGCCTCCTGGTTTTCACGTGCCATAAATAACAGTATTTGGAGATCACCACCACCCGCCCTTCCTGTGTCAACTCCCAAGTAGTAAACTTACAGGGGTGTAAGCTCAGGGCCTTATAATGAAGCTATTCTTCAATGTAAAAAAAAGGGGAAAAAACGCTCTGGTCCTCTAGTTCCAATCCCTCCATTTATGAGTTGGGTACAGTTGGGCAGGTGACTTAACCTGTCTGTCCCTCAGTTTCCTTCTCTAAAAACCTCACGGGGTTGTACTGAGAATACATGAGATAATACATGAATACATGAATTCAGTAGTGCCTGACACATAAACTGTCAGATGTCACTGTCATCACCTGTATTATTATGAAGTACTCTAAGCCCCAGGAGGCTTAGCTGAAAATAACGGGGCTGAAGAAGAGACAGTTCGTCTCTTACAGCGCTAAAAACACCCCCTCCACCCTTTCCTCTTTAAAGTTGGCTTGTTCTAGGTAACTGTGCATTCAGTGGCGCAAAAGAACTGTTTAAATATCTTAGTTTTATTTTTCTCAGGAAATTGAATCAGACAGACAATAATTGTTACAGCCGGTCTAGTTGTAGTAGATTGTTAAGCATCATGAGGCTTACGGTCTGCTGGGAGGACCCACCCAAAGAGAGGAGAAGTGTCCAGCTGTGCAGGGTGGAGCTGTGGGGCCAGTGGAGGCTGCAGCAATCAGGAGAGGTGTCGTGGAGGAGGTGGCCCTGAGCTGAGCCCTGGCCGTTGCCAGCCCGGAGGGCACATTGGTGCAGACAACAGTGGCTTCTCCTCGGGGCGGATGAAGCTCGCCCCAGCCAGCCACCCAGCCTGGCACTGTGGTACGGGAACAAGCCGCAGAGGGCAGTGCATTGTCCCTGGAGAGATCCAGTCGGAAGCCTTCTTTTCTCTGATGGGTTCCGTGTTTTCCTTTCTTCTCCAGCTCAGCATCTGGCTCAGCCCTGGACCTCTTCTCACCCTGCAATAAAAACTGTGAATGCCAAACCGATTCCTTCACTCCTGTGTGCGGAGCAGATGGCATCACCTACCTGTCTGCCTGTTTCGCTGGCTGCAAGAGCACGGTATGGTGGTTTTCTGATGGGATGGGATGGGGCAGAGGACTCGGGCAGCCGAAGTAGCTTAAAGCCCAAGGTCAAGGACAGGAGTGGACAGCCACACGTGTTCCATACTTTGTGTTCCTGCGCTGTGACTTTCTGTCGGCCTCTGTCCTGCTGTAGTGGAAGATCCTCCATCAGTAGGGCCTGCCGGGCCGTACAGGGCCTTCTTGCTAAATCAAATAGGTTTCCAAAAAGTGTCACTGAGCAACTGAATGTAAAAATGCAAAGGCAGCTGTATGTGTGGAGCCTGAGAAAAAGACTGTGGTTTGAGGCACCCACTAAGGGTGTCAGTGGAATAGCATGGCTCCACAGGTAATGAGCTCCCCATCAACACAAGTATGTAAGGAAACGCTAGAAAACCGTTTATCAGGGAAGACATCTTCCAAACCTGAGACTCTCTGACACTAGTCAACCTCTTCCCTGTTCAGCTCCCTTCGCCTTTTTCTTCTCAGGCTGATGCCTCCCGCCCTTTTCCACCCTCCCCTACACTTCTTTTGGCTCTTTTCCTTCTCAGCGTGAATTGTACAGCTGGCTGTCAGCCTACAGCTTTCCATGTTCTCTGCATGAAAACCTGATGCTAAGTGACCGGTCATCGGCTCTTGCTGATCCCACCTGCCAGGTGCTCTCACACCTGCCCATCTGCGTCCACCCCATCGCTGCCCTGTGGGGACCCTCCTCATCTCTTGGTTGAACTCATGTACAGCTAGTTACCTAATTGGCATCTGGGCTCAGGATGGCCCCCTTGTGGTCCGTCGGCTATACTGCAGCCAGAATGGTTTCTGTAACACTACAAATGACCCTTTCTGGTACTAATTTACCAACTAGAAGATAAGATCTAGGCCCTGGACTGGGTTTGCGCATGTCTTCAGCATGTGTCTGTCCTCAGCTGTTCTCTTCAGCTGTACCTCCTTTCAGTTGCTGGTGTTCAGCTCGCCCCACACAGTGTGTGTCTTTTCATATGTCTCCCTCTAGCTGGAAAACTCCTACGGACCCATCAATACCTTACTCAGATTTCCCCTCTCCTCCGTGAAGCCATCCCTCCCCTCCTTTACCATTGGGGTTCTTGCCTCTGCAGTCTTGGTACCCGTCTGTCCTGGAGGCACCTGTCTCATTCCAGTGCAGTGAGCTACCAAAAGTATTTCTCATCTGTTCTGATCTGTGACTTTCCTGAGCAAGGGCTCACATCCATAAGTGGACGTGCTCTGTAAGTGCCCAGGAATGCATAGATGGAAAGCAAGATTTAAAAAAAAGAAAAAAAAAACGGCTAAGTGGCTGCTTTCGAGGAACTTAAGAGTTAAACTCGTCTGTGTCCTTTCCTTCCCACATTCTCTCTCTTTTGGGAGCAATTTTTCTGAAAGAAGAAACGTGGATCATTTATTTTCATTTCCAAAGATTTTTTTTTCTTTGCTTTGAACATTTAGATTCCTGGCCAGTTATTAACATTTTTCTATAGAGAAAATAATTCACTGGGAGGGGCAAAGGGTGGGAGAAAGACTGGGGTTTTTTTTGGTTTTTTTTAATTAGATGATAAAGCAGTTTCTTTATGTGAATGGAAATGCATTTTTTTTTAAAAGGGATGGGACTTGGAGAATGTTTAAAATAAAAATGCAAGCTATTCTTTTTCATGACAGCAAGCTCATTATAATATTTTAATATTCAAAAAGTTATAAATCAGTTTGGGTTATTATTCTGTTATAAGAATTCAATTGAGTCTAGGCTGGTATCCCGACACCTAAGCAGTCTCTTTCAGGGCATTCTCTGATCCAGAAATTGACTTAAAAACTGCATCTCCCATGAAACGGAGTGGAGAGAAATTGACTAATTTATATATGATCGCCCGATAAAAAACCAAAACTGCATCTCCCCTGATCTTGCATGTACACGAGTGTTACTGAGTAAGAACCTCACCGGGCCCGTGGTTGCTTCCAGCTTGCAACAGCAAGCTGTGGGATGCAATTATCAGATGGCGAACTTCTCTACTTCCTCTGGATGTAGCTGTATTTCCCCGACACCTGCCTTTTCCTCATGTTCCTGGAGGCCTCCTATTGTCTGCTGGGTTGCAGGCCCAGCAAGGTTATCCGCCTGCAATTACAACGCAGAGACTGAGAAAGCCCCAGGCCCCAGGGCCGGGGTGGGGGTTACATTCCAACCCCACAGAGGCAGACCTCTAGATGCCCTGGCTTCCGACAGGTGGATGAGGGACTTGGGGACACAGAGCTTCCCGAATCCTGGACAGGGAACCTTGTGACAGTTTAGTCTTAAAAATAGCCACAGCTGTAACACTTGGAATAGCAGCAGGCTTTCCCACAAGCCGGTGCAGGCCAGTGAGCGGCCGTGGTCACTCAGGGCCTGTGGCAGCAGCTTGGCCCAGGGTCAGAGGAATCTCAGACCAGCGTCTTCCTCTGTCTCTGTGACTTCCTTAGGACCCCCGCCTGCTTTCTACCTAACAGGACATCTTCATGCCTCTGCTGTAGTCTGGACATCCCTTACAGCCTCGTCCTGCTGCCTCTCCAGCCTGAAGCGCCCTACACCCAACCCCTTGCTGTGTTGAATTTCAGCACACCCAGCTCTCTCTTACGTCCAGGCTTTTGCACGTGCTGTTCCTTGTATCAGGGACGGTCTTCCCCTTAGCCCTTCACATGCATAGAACACCTCCTTATCCACAGCTGGGAAGCCTCCTCCCACCTGGGCCCCCCCTACAGAGTCCCCACCACCTGCCATCTCCCAGTGACACTCTAACCCCCGCCCACCCTCCCACCCCCTACGGAATGGCTCCTTACACCCGCATCTCCCCACTAGGCTCCAGCATACAGGGCTGGGGCTCTGGTGTACCCTCTTATTTCCAGTTCCAGCCCTGTCTCTGGACAAAGGTCCCAAGCTTCCTGAGCCCCACCACCAGGCTGGAGGCCCTGTGCTAGCCTCAGGGCGCCCCTGGGAGCCAGAGGTGATACCCTCACTCTCTTGAATAGCAATCAGCGGGCGGGTAGGTTGGCTGATGCTGATTTTAATGCTAAAGACCCAATCCTTGCTCATCTCTCACCACTTGACAGCTTCCATCAAGACTTGTGAAAATTTCCCCTAACTCAATTAGATGTGAATAAATCTCCCATCAGGTCATTCTAATGATGAGGAAGCCTTGTTAGCATTAGTGCTTTTCAGATACTGGACTTTCCTTCTTGTTCTGGTTTGGGTTTTGATTTTCATTTTCTTGTATCTCCTTGAGTGACAGCAATGGAAGTTTCCAGGACTGCATTTAATATACAATTTCTAATTCTCCTCATTGCTTATGACCAGGACGGGTGACAAAAAGGACTGCAAGTTAATTCTGTAAGCTTCCTTTGACATGAATATGTTGTCCAAATCATTACTGTCCCTTTCCCTCTTAGAAGTAATTATTCTAACAGAAAGCGTGTTGGTATGTTGCTATTGACTAAGAAAAAAAAAAGCTTACAGCAACCATCAATAGAACGCTGAAAGTCAATATAAGTCCAGCAAAGCAGTTTGTAGGTTCTAATGGTAGCCGATTAATCTATGCCCCTATCCAGGCAACCAATATTTATTGAGCGCCCGTTTGAGCAGAGCCCCTAGTAGGTTCCATGGTGGGAAGGGAATGGAGGTCCCATTGTGGATGCACACAGGGAGCTTATTGCTGAGTATCAGGGCTCTCGGTCCTGGCTGCACATTAGAAGCGCCCAGGAGCTTTTAAAATATGAGGCCTCAGCCCATCCTTAGAAATCCTGATTTCTTTGTTCTGGCGTGAGACCCAGGCATCGGTATTTTTTAAAGCCCCTGTCCCCCCAAGTGTTTTTGATTTGTAACCAAGGTTGAGAGCCACTGACCATTACAGAGTGTCCTCACCTCAGTACTACTGAGTACTGAGTTGTATACTAAGGAAAACACTGAGGTACTCAGTAGTACTCAGGATTCTTGGCTGCATCGTTCTTTGTGATGGGAACTGTCCTGTGGACGGGAGGGTGTTCAGCTGTACCTCTGGCCTCTCCCTACCAGATGCAACAGGCCCCCGACCCCTCCCCCCGACCCCCGCATTTATGAAACCACTGGTGTCTCCAGATAGCTCCATAGGTCCCTGAGTGGGGGCAGAGTTGTCCCCAGCTGAGAAGCACTGCTCCAGGAGAAGCGATGAATTCTTACAATTTTATCTTTGTGGCAACAGGTCAGCATCTGAGCTGACACTGCACTCACCCTCCATCTCATTCCCTTGGTCACCATAATTGTGTTCACCCACGGTAGATGCCAAGCTGGAGACTGAAGGCGCCCTGTCCACATGTTCCACGGAAGAAAGAAACATGGCCAGCATGCCATGTCTGCCCTGCATATGTGTTGACTTTGGCCTAAACCAAGGTTTAGCAGGCTGGACATTTCATTCAACCTAGAAATTGGTTTATGTGTATGCATACTGATCTGGATTTCTGGCCTGTCTGTAAAAGCTGGGCAGTCACTACCATGGCACCTGTACCCATACAGGGCAGCGTGGGCTGGAGCTGAGCAACGGCTGACCCGTTAGACAAGACACGTGATCCTCACGTAGTCACAGCCCCCACCACAGGCTACCCCTGCACCTGGCCCATTTTCCTTACCCATTTCCTGTCTGGTTCCCTAAGGTTTGGAAACCCTCTCCTAGAACCTGGTCCCCTTTCCCAGGATGGATTTAACAGTCTGTACTCATTCTGGTAATGGCTTGTCAGAGGGGACTGTGAATATTCTGAAATCGGTCCCTCCTGGGGCCTGGCCACTGAGGGCACCTGAGCAAGGCATTAGAAATATAGAGACAACTTAGTGAGGAGCTCATGTTTATTATGAAACCAGATAGAATGTGTGAATAGAATTATGTACAAGGGAACGCCCGAGAGCAGAAGCTAGCCTGGCCTTATGTGTACAATATCGTGTTAAGTGCAAATAGCATATTATAAAACTAGATAGCGGGTTATGATCCCTTTTGGTCAAGAAAAAGGAAATCTAAATACATGTATATCTTTGCTCTGCCCACCACTCCCTACCTGAGATGGCTGAACCACGAGCGAGCCCCTGGCTCCCCAGAGAACAGCCCTTTCCTTGCGTCTGCAGGAGAGAACTCAGGCTCTGGCAGGATGTGCGCCAGCTCCTGCATCACAGATCATGGGGGCGAAAGGTGGACCGAGGTCTTGCTTTCATCTTAGAGTTTTTCTCCGTGGCCATTAGCCTTCAGCCAGTGACCCCCACAAGGGACCAAGAGAGTGAATTTCTCCTCACAGCCCCTTGGCCTTGAGACTGGCGGAGCTCTCAGTGATGAGAACTCAGGTCTTTGCCTGGAAATTCCGGCTTGGGTTGGGTCAATAAGGTAAAGAGATTCTGAGCTCCGAAAAGATGGTAATAAGTGACAGGAGAATGTCTGAGGAACTTGACCTGATCAACGGAAGAATCCCTAAGTGCCTAGGACATACAGGAGTACGTTGTCATTCAGAGGAAAACACTGCAGCCTATTGGGTGGTGTCAGTATCTTCTGGCATCGCAGTTATTAGAATGTCAGCACAAAGGGTGGCAAAAGCAGGCAGAACACTGTGTGTGTCCGCACCAACTCCCCAGCTACAGGACAAGGGCCTGACATGTAATAGAAATTGTCCCTTTTTTTTTT